CTGGCACATGCACATGCCTTGTTCAGTATGGTTATTTTTATTGTTGATTTATTCTCATATATCAGGGCTAAGGAAAAAAAGACGAGGTAGATGGATAAATGGATAAAGGTTGAACCTGGGGTGGGAGTTGGGGAGGGAAGGGGGTACACTGAAATTGAAGAGTGGTTATTATAAGGCAACACAGGAACTAGACTTTCAAAGAGTACAGTTCTCTTTCTTCAGAAGTTTGTTTTCACATGGAGAACAGTAGGGATCAGTTAGCTTAAATTTTTAATTCTACTCTGCCTGATTTCTTCCTTCATACTAGATATAATCATTAGGCCCAAGAAGTCATTAAAGTGTTTAATAAGGTTATTAAATTGACTAACTGCTGCTACTGAAGCAATTTTCATAGGAAATCCATACGATTCTAGTTATGGAACTTGGAGCTGTCCTTTGTGGCTGACAGGCTGTCAACATTCCTTTGAAGGATGGTGGGCAGCATCATGAGGGATGCGTCTAATTAAGACATTACAGGTGAACCTTGGCTTCCTGGGTGTGCTATTCGTAGCTGGAAGTATCGTGAAACTTCACTAATTCCTACTAATTGCAGATTGGGGGAGGGAGGCCCATCTGAATTATAGAATATTTTAAAATAAATGTACTTTTATTACTTTCAAGTATATATTTTAACTCCAACTACACAAACAAATCGTTGTCTGGTACAAGTCTTAGGGGACTCAAGTTATTGGTGCTCTCAGAATGATTTTCAATTATTTCTACGTAAATAGGTGCTTCTGGAGTTCTTTAGGGTGCTTGAAAACAGTTGATTCTCACAGACCTTAAACATTGCTCTTGTAGCCACGTGCTGTTAATTGGCACACCCTTAGAGGAAGGGGTTTGTTAAATTAAGATAAACTTTAGACCAGCTGCTAAATAACATCATTAATTCATGGAGTCCAAGAACCCAAGTGGATGAGGTTTTTATTTCAGTTGAAGTTTGATCTCATCTTTTTTTTTCCCTGAAGCCAGTTCATTTATTCCTGCAGACATGCATTTATTCATTAAATGATATTAATGGACTGCATTGGGTGTGCCAGGCGCTCAAGTCATGCTGGACAGCCTAAGCTACCCTAAAGGAGCTTAGCATCTAGTGGAGGAGGCCTGCAGGTCATTACAGTGCAGTAAGGCATGGTGAAGAGGGAGGATGCCCAAGGTCTGCCCAGAGACAGTAGGGGCTTGGAGTAGAGTCAAATTAATCAGACTGGGTGAATCTGAGGATTTCCAGAGGAATTCCAGAAGGATTTCTAGAGACTGAGTTGCCTTTTGAAAATGGATTGGAGTTAGCAGAAAATAAAAGAAAGAACCAGATGATGGCGATGAAGGAAAAAGCAGAAACTGGGGTGAGGACAGCAGTGCAGGCAGAGAGAACAGCATGTTCAAAGGCGTGCAGGTGTGAAATTGCATGCTGTGTATGGGGATGTAAGCTTCGCCTTTGGAGATTAGGAGAGTGAAAAATCATGAAAGGCTATATTGTGCTAACTACAGAGTTTGAACTTGGTCTTGAAGGTTATGGGGCAGGTTTTGTAGGATTTTCAGCAGGAAAATGACACCATCAGATGTGTGCTTTGGAGCCATTCTTGTTTTAGTGTGGGGTCTGAATTACGGGCCCAGGGATCAATTAGCAGCCCATGCATTAATGTTGGGCAAGCAGTCCTTGGGTCAAAGCACTCACAGAGGGAATAGAGTTGTGGGTGGGTCAAAGAAGGGTGAATCTGGAGGACGTGGTCAGTGAGTCAGATAGAGAAGTCTGGGGACTCTGGGTTTCTGGCTGGGGTTGCTGGGGATGAGATGAAGAGGAGGATGTGGGAAGGGCGTGGATTCTTTGTGCTTGTGGGATTTCCCAGTGAGCTGTCTAGGCAGAAGCCTGGATACGTGGGGAGATGCCTGGACTGGGATGGAGAGAGAATCATCAGCTCACGCTGAGCACTTGAAACCATATGTTCGGATGAGGTCATCCTGGAATCCTAACAGGATGTGAAGAACAGCAGCCTGGGATGGCTCTCAGGGCAACAGCAACGTTGAAGGGAACGAGAAGGAAGAAAGTTCGCCATTTCGCACTTCAACCAAGTTAAAGATTTTCAGGATTGAAAAAGCGTTTGCAGCCTTAGCTCCACAGTTAATGTTGAGCGTTCATTTAAAGTGCATTGCTGTGTTCTTAGGGGATTCTTTTTCCAGCATGGCTTTAGAATATGTTTTCAACATATCTTTCCTACATAAAGATTAGTCATAATGAGTAATAAGAATGGTACAATCCAAGAATTACAATCCACTAAGATGAGGAAAGTAGATTCTTTAGTGTAGAATCTACAGTGTTCATTAGGATGTTCATTCCTTTTACACATTTCATGAGGGGCCTGCTCCAAGCAATTTCTGTGAAATCTTTAGGTCACTCTGCCTTTCACTGAGAAATGACAGTATTAAAGTGTTTGCAACTAGGTTCTTAAATTAATCAATTTTTACTTAAAAAAAGGTAGACATCTGGATTAGCTTTTCTGAATTGCTTATTGCCAAGGTCTATGGGAAGACCTCTGTGCTCTGGGTTTATAAGCATTTTCCTTTCTACGTAATAATCGTTGACTTTCATGTAGCACTTAATGAAAATTTTCCCAGTGCTCTCACAGGTATTTTTTAATTTGATCCTCCTAACCAGCAGTTGAGATGGGCCGGACAGGCATCATTCCTATTTTCCTGATGTAGAAGCGGAGGCTCAGTGGATAAGTTCATAATTTAGGAAGTAAGTGAATCAGAATTTACCCCTGGTCTTGTGACCACAATTTCAGTGCTCTTTCCATGAAAAGGGACATGTTACTCAAAGTGTAGATGTCAGTAGTTAGACAGTAGCGAACAGATACAGGGGAAAAAGTCCTGATTTTTTTGAGAACTATTTGTCATTACTACCATCTTCAATTAATAATATGTTGAGTGTTCAAGGGGTCTGTGATGCTGTGGTAATTGTGGACTTTATAATTTTAGTTCAGAAACCTTTTTTTAAATGACAGGTTTGTAGAAAATTGACAAATGCATTTCTTTGTCTTCTCATTTTTGTTTTACCTGAGTGGAGGCCCACTATTTCAGTAACAGGTGCATATCTTCTACTGTTAATATGGAACATTGAGCTGTTGGAAATATTTAATTTCCCCTGTGGGATATTCAAGAACTTCTGCCTCTCCAGTGGAAAAGTGGAACTGCCAGCACCCTGGGAGGGAGTGTGGCTTACATGTGACCTGATGACTAGCAGCCTTCTCCCTTAGGCTGGCTTAACGGGGGTAGGATAACCTTGTCAGCCCTTGTCAACATTCTCCCTTGCCCTGAGTGTGCTGGGGGCATTTGGAGGGTTAGATGTGGTCTACCCTGGATTCTGGTCTTCTCTCCTATTCCTGACCTATTTGTCCTTCTGTTCATTGATTCATTGGTGATTGATTCACTCTTTCTAAGAATTATGGATGTGTGAAAAGCACTCTGGGAAAATGAGTTACACACAGACACACACACACACGCACACACACGCACACACACGCACTAAGGGCAGGGTGCCTGGGTTCTGTTTCATTTCCACCTCTGGGCAGGATCTACTTTACCCTGACCCAATCACACTATATGTAAGAGGGCTTCTTACTAACAATTGTCTTTACAGTCCCTCTTATAATTTAGAATACGCTTTTAAGAAAAAATGGCCAAAACGTTTAGAGTATTGTTATATTGTTGTCTTGTTTTTATTGTCTGTCTTCTAAATGACTTTAAAAATACATAATGAAAAGATTTTAAGATAAGACTTTTTGGAACATTAGCTCATCATCCCTGTATATATACTGAGGGCAAGCAGTGGGGCAGAAGTGTTCAATGCAAGAGCAAAGCATTACTTTAGAAGGTGAACTTGATAGGTGGCAAAAGCGATTTAAGGGAATGTGGACTATTTTTCTCCTTCTCTCTTAATCCTCTGTCCTGAAAAATTCTCATTTTATTATCTGCATAACAGAATGGAGGTGCTCAGTCCAGAAAACCTCATGATCTTTTTTCTTCTGCTGCTCTAGAGCGCTGACGGCCTGCTTTTCAGATGTGCCACAGCAAAGCAGTAAGGAATGCCTCAAATTTCAGCCCTGAAGTCTTTTTTCAAAACAAAAAGTTAAAATATTTAAAATGAAATTCAGTTAGCAATGAATTGTTGTGCCAAACATAACACTTTTTTTGTGGTACGTTTTCATATTTTAAAATTGAGCTGATTTAATGAAGAGCACTTTAAAAAATATTGTATTTGAAATTTTACCCCCATTTCCTGTTCTTACTATCTTTAAAAAGGAACAAAATGATCTACTTTGTATTTTTTTTAACTTTTCTAACTCTTATCTATAACATGAGGTTGTTATGAAGATGAAATGATTAACTACACGGGAAGGTATATTTTAAAAATAGAAGAGGGTGTCAAAGGCGCTCATCTTTCTGTTACTAAGTTAGTAGTGCTTATTCTCAGGAAGTTGGGGTGCACACACAACGTCATTTTCAGCTCTCCTTGCTTGCTTTTCACATGGCCTTTGTCACTCTTTCTTGTGTTCTAGCAAGTGATTTAGCAGGCAGGGCCTATAGTTTTAATTCAGAGAAATGAAGAAAGTAAGAAATGACCACTTTTACAACTGGATAAAAATGTGAACCTATTTTTCATGATGCAAAATTAAAAATCAGTTTTAGAGTATCTGTTCTTATTGTCTTCACATAACCTGTAAAACTATCCAAAAGTGCACCCAGCTCGGTTTTGCGTTATTGTAAAAATTCCATTTGTGGCAACAGCGTTTTTTTAGACTTCCTGTGGTGCTTGATTCATTAACTTCTTGTTTTTTAAAGGATTACAACCACATCGGTTAAAGTTTATTTCAGTTTTGTTCTTGTACAGTCATTTCTCTCAGCCCTTCTTAGCCCTACTTGCCATTCTGAAACCTATTTCTTTGCTTGTGATGCCTTTACAGGAATTTGTAAGTGTTTGGGTTCGAGATCCTAGGATTCAGAAGGAGGACTTCTGGCATTCTTATATTGACTATGAGATATGTATTCATGTAAGTATGCCGTCAGTAGTCCATAGAAATCACAGTAATTTTTAGGTAGCATACATTTGATGGGATACTATGATATACTTATAATTGAAATTTATAAAAAATTTTCTAATTCAAAGAACTGAATTTGAATGATTACAATTAGTGCTTGTCTCTTAAATGAAGTAGTACGATGGTTCCTAAAGTTGTTTATTTGAATTCCTTATTGTACCTTTGTTAATATTTTAATGTTTATTGCCTTCATGTATGAAGATATGAATACATCTAAAATTCAGAAAGAGTTTTTATAGCTCATTAATGGTATGTCTTTATGATCTCTTATAGCATATTTCTGGAGACTATATTGCCTGATAAATCTTAGGTTTTGAGAGGATGTAGTGTTCTCTGGAAAAGAGATGTGCAGTGTTTTATATGTAGAACAGGAAAGTAGGAAATGAATATATGGAATTATTTTGCCTTAGTCTCAATTCTGAGTAATTAAGATAAGTAAATAACTAGAAATGATTTACTTTACTTGGAAATAGTACTGTATCATAATCTCTTGAACAGTGTTGTGTGGTGTGTCGCCTCCTCTGATTATCTTGAATGAGGGTCAGCAATCTTTTTCTGTAAAAGGCCAGGTAGTAAATATCTTTGGCTTTGTGGGCCATACAGACTCTCAAAATTACTCAGCTCTGTTGTTGTAGGGTGAAAGTAGCCATAAACAATACATAAATGAATGAGTGTAATTGTGTTCCAATAAAAATTTATTAGTGAAGACAGGTGGCGGCTGGATTTGGCCCACAGGTGTATATAGTTTATTGGCCCTTGATCATGAAGATAGTCACTTCTTTTGTGTAATTTAGTCCAGACTTTTCTTGAGAGCATAGAAATGGGCTCAGATTTTATCTGTGACTCTGTATAGAACAGGTGAGATAAAATTTAGGCATCCTTTGATCTTCACATTGTTAATAGCTACATTGGTATATTGGGTACCCAGATACCACCCACAAAACTTCTCTTTTTTCTCCTTTCTTCCCTTTTTTCTTTCAAAGTTCCCCAACTTGGAAAATAAAGTAAAAACTCAGAACTGCTTTCTTTGATGATTGTGTTGAAGCCCATGGCCAGGGTACGCCTTGTATTTTGATTTTGTTTTCGTTTTACTCCTGAGGTCACACCAGATATGCATTCTGTGTGGAAAATTATAACACAAGTATGTAAGACTAAGCATTTGAAAACGAAATGAAATTCTTTAGTTGCCTTTTGACTCCCTCTAAAAAATTTGTGGGTCCTTATGACACACTTTATAGTAGGTATGAAATTTCATTATCTTCAGGGAGTTAATGAAAGTATAGATCCTTCTCTTCTACATAAATAATATGATGTGAATTCAGAAATGTCCATCTAAAACCAGAAATAATGGGTTCCACACATGTTATTTGGTGGCGGCTCTGGTGTTTCTCTGAGATGCTTATAAATTGACAAGGAATAAATGTTCTTGGCTTGATAGATAGCAGAAGCAAGCAACTAGATTTAGAGGAACTTGATAAATTAGTGATCTCAGTGTAGCCTGATCCTGAAGAGGCTTCTACCTATTGTTGTACGATTAGGAATGGGTGGGGAGACTGGAGAGTTCTTGTTACCCTCATTTAGATGCTGTACCCATAGAGCTTTGCAGGTAGAGAAGCTGGTGTTTAACGCACTTAAATTAACCTCAAGGGAAATGATACCAGGCAACTCCGAAGTTGTAGCATTTACTTGGAATTTTAAACTAGTGGACTGTCAAGGTGGGTAGTCCTTCATATATCCTCTCCTGAGCTTGTCCTGCAAATGAAGGACTTATAGATAGACCTTTGTCTGGTGTAAGCACCAGATGGATCTCCAGTTATTGCATGCACAGTGATTCTGAGCAGAGAAATGAAAGGCAGTTGAACTGAACTCCACCTCTGCCTGAGGTTCAAGAGGCCCTGCAGTGGCCTGGTCCTCTCTGGGGAGAGAGCACTGAGAGGATACTCACCCAGACCTTGTTAGGGCACGAATTCTGGAGTAAACGGCCTGCTGCCTGAGTCCCTAAGGGTCACGTTAGAGGGAGGCCCTGGTGTGCTTTGAAATCCACACACACAACATTATTATTATTTTTTTAATAAATTTATTTTACTTATTTATTTATGGCTGCGTTGGGTCTTCGTTGCTGTGTGCAGGCTTTCTCTGGTTGCGGGGAGCGGGGCCTACTCTTCGTTGCAGTGTGCAGGCTTCTCATTGCGGTGGCTTCTCTTGTTGCGGAGCACAGGCTCTAGGCACGCGGGCTTTGGTAGTTGTGGCACGCGGGCTCAGTAGTTGTGGCTCGTGGGCTCTAGAGCACAGGCTCAGTAGTTGTGGCTCACGGGCTTAGTTGCTCCGCGGCATGTAGGATCTTCCCGGACCAGGGCTCGAACCCGTGTCCCCTGCACTGGCAGGCGGATTCTCAATGACTGCGCCACCAAGGGAAGTCCCACAACGTTAGTATTGTGCCACGGACTCCATCCAGTGCGTTTGCTGCCATATCGTCCATGACAGGATTTAGGCCAATAAGTATTTTGGGGGCAAGTCTCTTAACCTCTCTGCATCCTGAGGTTCTTTGAATTTTAGGAAGTTCAGGAATACCAGGAACTGTGCCATACATTTCATGGGAACGGTTAGGAACTAATGTACACCATCCCTGACACTTTCCAAGGAAAACAGCGGCTGGGTGCTTATTAAGTGGTAGGTTGATAACAGTTTTTGAAATGATATAAATCTTGGGGGCAAAACAATTTCCCATTTGGCAGTGTAAAGATTATGAAATAGAATTTTGAAATTAATAGGTAGAATAGAGATCTTCTTACAAAACCAACAGACACATAAGCCAGTCTCTGGTTTTACAGAAAGGAGAAACACACATATTTACCAGCCTTGTGTTTACCCAAAGGAGAAGCATTGCTGTTTTGCTTTGGGTAGGGACTCTGAGGGTGGCTTTTTCTAAGTTTGCCTTAAGGTAGCTGGAAGGAAACCAATGTCCAGTAACTAATAATACTATTAAGAGATAACATTTGCCATGTGCATATTATCAATCCTAATAACAACAACCCTGTGAAATTGGGATGTACTATTTCATCCCCATTTTACCATTCAGGGAACTGGAGTTGAAGTGACTTGCCTTATAGCAGAGCCAGGACTAGAATTTGGGTCCTCCATGCACATACTCGTCCTGTGCACCACATGTCTCTTTTTACTTGATCACGCTTCCTTGCACATCTAAGTAGAGAAGGGAAATGCTGAACTCTTGTTTAAAAGTGATTTCAGGATTCTGGGTGATTTGTGTGATCTGCGGCGATGGCCATATCAAGGACACAACAGCTTCTGCGATGTCATGTGAAGGACCAAGAGAAGGTGTTTCTAATCCCCAAAGGCTTCTCCACGGATGGATGGATGGGGTTGAATGCAGTGGATGACCCTGAGCTCTTATTGGTCATTTATTCTTCAGGATTTGTTTAATGTTTATGATATGTCTCTGAAGGGAGTGCTAATAGGTGAGCAGGAAGCTCCTTCAGGACTCAGGGAAGGGCAGGGTCCTGCCTTGCCCCAGGACAACACTGCTCATTTATGTCACCCCAGCTGTCTTCATGGATGCTATATTGGTGGGTTCTGTGCACTATTGGAGTCTTGCATAAATGCAAATGTATTTTTGATTTTTAAAATCCTACTTTAGATGAATATTGGGGGGCATATAGGGAGTTATAGATGTAAGAAAAGCATTTTTTCCTCAAGTGAGGCTTATATTTTTTGTTTTCTTTAAACAGACCAATAGCATGTGTTTTACAATGAAAACATCCTGTGTACGAAGAAGATATAGAGAATTTGTGTGGCTGAGGCAGAGACTCCAAAGTAATGCATTACTGGTGTAAGTGATTTAAAGAGTATATTGAGGAGACCTTATTATTATATTCAATATTTTAAAATTTGACATGCCACATATATAAAATAAACAACAGTGGTTTACTGTATAGCACAGGGAACTATATTCAATATCTTGTGATAACCTATAATGGAAAACAATCTGAAAAACAATGGAAAACACCTGAAACTAACACAGTATTGTAAATCAACTATACATCAATTAAAAATTTGACATGTATTAAGATATATAAAATACGAAGGATTTCATAGGCTTTCTTCTTGATCGCAATATATAGCTTTAGTTTTTTTTGGACTACTGCATCTGAATTCAAAATTTATCACTTAAATTATACCAACTTGTATGAGTATTGACCATGGAAGTCCTCAAAAATGTTTTTTTTTTGTTTAAGTTAATTGATTTTCTCACACCCTTATTATATAATGTAACCATATAACATGTATATAATAGTTGTGTGATAATTATCATGCACAGTTTGCTTTCATCTTGAGGGATTTCTGTAACGAAACCACCTTAATTGGATGATTAAAAGAATTTTTTTTTCTTTCTCATAAGACAACTGCCAGAACTTCCATCTAAAAACCTATTTTTCAACATGAACAATCGCCAGCATGTAGATCAACGCCGTCAGGGTTTGGAAGATTTCCTCCGAAAGTAAGTGTGCAGAAACGTTTGCAGCCAGACGGGAGATACGAGCACAGTGCTTTGCAAGAGTTGAGTGTCCTGTGATCAAGTCGGGGAGAATGTTTCTGTTTCTAAAATGCTAGTGATCTGCTCTGGAGGGACGCTCAGTAGTTCATTTCCTATATTAGAGCACCATCTTGTGGCTCACATCACACAGTGCATATCCGGGACCAAACTTTCCAGAAAGAAAACAATAAACTAATTGAATCAGATAATAAATATATACTCCCTTAAGCTATAAAGCAGAGCCAAATTGCTTGGGAGTTTAGCTAACAAGAGTAAAATTTGCCAGGAAACAAATGTGCCTTATTAAAAAGGCACTTCTTAGAAATTCTCTTTATTTACGACATTTAGGATCAACAGACCGAAATCAGCTGTACGATGGGCTGCTAATACCCTTCTGAGCTCCTCTAAATGAATAGCTTAATGATACTCTTTGGAGAGAATGTTTATAAGGGAGTATTAATTGGTGTTTGAATAGTCTCAGTGGGTTATTAACTCTGGGGTACTTGGTGATGGTTGGTACTGCAGTGAAAGTGACTTGAATTCACACTGCTATAATTCCCCTCTTTTTGGAATGCTGGAATACCTACCTATCCCACGGGACAACACAGTGGTTTGCACACAGACCCTATGGCCAGACTGCCTGAGTTCAAATCCTGCTTCTGCTACTTATTAGCTGGGGACTTGGGCAAGTCTTTTACCTCCTCTGTGCCTGTGTTTGCCCATCTATAAAATGGGGTAATAATAGTATCTACTTCATAAGGTTGTCGAGAGGATTAAATCAGTTAACGAATGTAAAGCACTCACAACAGACTGGCATATAATGTGTGGTAGCCAAGTATCGGCCATTATTTTAATGCACTTAAATGAAATAGCTTTGAGCTAACTTTGCTATTTTGCTATTTTGTAGATAAGGAAATAGGATGAGTCCTATGACCACTAGTTAGTGGCGGGGCCCAGTCTCCTGAACTGTCTTTTTCTACTAGCTTCAGGATCTGAAGCCGTCTCCTTTTGAGTTTCCTACACAGTAACTTTGAGCTAGCCTGAAATAATATACTGCCCTCTCCCCACATGGCTCACTCACCAAGGGTTTGGGTATTAAGTATCCACGTGAATATTAACATTTATTTCTATTAGATTGATATCATGCTTTTCCTTTGAGGGGGTCATGGAGACATACAGAAACATCCAAGATTATAAATGGAGGGAGGGTCGGAAGAGAAAAAGAAGGCAGAGGAATAAAAATGACAAGAGACCAGAAGAATTGATTAACCGAGCCAGGTTCTCAGAAAACCTCACACTGGTGTTCTTTGGGGTATCATAGGCATGACAAAGACCCAGTCAAATTTCTTCTGCCCTTTCCCTTTGGGGATAGCTCCAATTTTAATTGTCTGTATGGGACCCAGGTGGCTAATGGCCTCTCCCTTAAGACGTGGTCCCCGCAGCCAAGTTTGCAGAGTGGCTTGTCGCTCCAGATGCTGCTCAGGGAAGCTGCAGACTGGCCATCGCCAGTGAGACCTGGACAGAGCTAGTCAAATCCTGCAGTCCCCAGAAGCGTTGGGGAGCTACATGTTTTTGGTAGAGAAATCTCCTTATTTGAGATCAAAGGACAGTCTGTGTCTCTATATTTATGTTGCTGGTTAAGTGCAGGGCATGTGTTTTTCGACCAGGAATCACTTCATTGTTTTAAACATAACCTTTCCTTGCACAATTGGTCAACCAGATTCATGCCAGAGTGAGAGTCACTGGGCTGCAGAGGGGTTGTGCTTAGTTACTCTAGGTTGTTTGGGCGTGCTGTGTCGTTTCGCAGTTAGCTGGTTGAATCTGATGCAGAGGTCATAATGGAAAGTGTCGTGGGTCAGGGGCTTGAGGAACTGGGTTCCAGGTCTCCTGTGAATCTTGGCTCCTGAGTGTTTTCTGACTCTTCGACCTTGGAAAAGTCACCTCATTCCTGTGAGCCTTGGTTTGCTAGAAAGAATGCAATAATGTAACATATGTATTGCCAACCTCGTGGGTAGTTAAGTCATTCAGAGGATGACTTGGAAAGGACTCTGCAAACCTATTTATTAAGTGACTGCTTTGGACCAGGCTGGGTACTGGGGATATAGGACTGCACAAGATGGACACACATCCTTGACCTCTTGAAGCTTCCATTCTAGTGGGAAGCAACTATCTATGTACCAGGGATGGCTAGATTCATTAAAATTGGATCTGGATTACCATGCAGAAGTCAAATCATGAAACGGACACCAAGTTCTCTTGTGATGTTACTTGTTCCATTATGGTCTGTGAACATTAGTCTCCAAGTGATGAGTTTCACGTTAAAAATGAAAGCTGGTGCTTCCACGTGGTTTGAACCTGAAGGAAGTAAGGAGTCTAATACCACACGGTTTAGCTTTTTACATATTTTATCTCAATACTTACCACGTTAGGAGTCAGGTTTCATCTCAGTTTTATAGACAAGGAAATTATAAGAAAGGTAGAGGCACTATATTAATCCCAGGAACTGGCAGGTTTATAATTAGAACTCTTAAATGCTAGCTAAATTTGGTCAGTATGATTGTGAGATTTTTCAAATATATTCATTTTTCCTCAATCTTGGCTATACTCTCCCTTTTGGGTCTCCCCCCACCCCCCGGTTACTTTTAAATTGTAAATCACTTTTACTAATAGTTGTGGAAAAAGAAGTTATAGACTAAATGATAAATTCTGTTGGTAAGTTTCTAACTATGAAATTGGCATTCCTACTAACTTTTTACATTTGATTGCTATCACAGATGGGAGCCAGCTTTCCTTCTTTGCTGAATCCACCCCATTAATGTAACTACATGTACCTTACAATGTAGACTTCTGTATTACAGTTTTGTATTTCTTAAAAAATTAAGGAATTGAATAAAAAAATTTTTTTTGCAAAAGGATACCATGGAAACACTACAGCTAGTTTTATACACAGACACACACACACACAATTTTTGTAAGTCTTTGTGTTCAATAGAGGGCACCACAGCACAGATCATGAGTGTCTTCAAGGAAGATTTGTAGGTTTTATTTTTTTCTCATGGTAAGAGGTAAACAGGCTGAATTAATTTTTTTTTCCTACATCAAACTGCTAACCTTCCACACGCTATACAGATGTGTATACATATCATTATATTGGGTTCAGTAGACTCAGGGCATCCTTAGTTAGGTTTTGCATAGCTATATATATTCTCAGCTGAACCAATATATAATACACCTAATAAAATCACGTTGAGGAAAACCAGATTTTCAGCTGTGTTTAATTCAAGGAAAAACAGGTTTTGCTTTGTTTAATTTAAAAGTTGGTATGGAGAAAGGAATAACTTTTGACTTGTGTTGTAAATATCCTTTCAGAAATTCCTTTAAAATTCTGGAGGCTATTTATTGTTCCTTTTATAAAGGCCTGAAAATTGTATACATTTATTTTTATGGAGGCTTATAAAGATGACATTTTATTGACTGTTTTACTAAATACTCTTTATATTAAGTTTGAAGTTGATTTTCTGCTGTTAGATTTGTTGGTGGAAAATGTGGCACAAGTATGACTAAGGTAAAATAGGGTTTAATATTATGATGGCAGTCACAACACTCTCTGATATATACTAAACCAGATATTACTTAAAATGAACTAATTATGCTCACTGAACCAGATGGGAAAACACTCTAAAAATTTTGTATTTTTAATTTTGGAATGAAATACTGGACTGAAGATAAAAATCCTAAATACAATAAAAAAGTATTTTTGCTTATTTAAAACTCATACCCATGGAGTACGGTGACATAAATTTAGCCAATCAGACAGAAGCCATTCAAAAAACCTAAACTGTGCCTGGCACATGTTTTTGAACTCAGGGCCTGTGTGGGTGTTCAGATGTTCCCTGAACATCCTTCTCCCAGTTCAGAATTGTGAGCTGGGTGTGCCGGGCTCCCTCTGGCTGTTCACCTGTGTGTCCTCCAGATGGCAGTATTAAGCAGAAAAGAAAACACTGGGAAATGAGTCTGATGCACAGTAAAATTGGAAATTGAATTATAGCTCAAGAAAAAGGACAGTAGCCTTGAGGTGCAGATCAACCTCGACTCTGATCACTTTTGTTTGCTGTACCCATGTGTTAGGTTACTAGCAAGTTAATAACAGTGTGTGACCAGTTCAAGGCTCAGTAGAATTGCTTTAGACATGAAATAAAGCTAAAATGAATTTGTGTCCAATATCATTGGCATTAGTGCTCATTACTTTTGTGGTGTAATGCCTCAGACCATCTAAAATCAGTTTTAAAGATTACCCATTATTTTATAAAGAAAATACATTTCCAGCAGAAACAAAGCAGTAAGTATAATCCTATGAACAGTTACTTGTAACATCGCTGGCAGGAAACCACTGACAAAGGACACAGGAAACACTCCGTTCAAACTTCACAGCAAATGCAAGGTAATATTAATGGCTCGTTGCTATATAAATCTTCTCTTGATTTGAAGCATTCAAAACAAGAGTCGTAAACATTTATAAAGGTAGAAAATAAATCTCAAAGAGTAGTAAAAGGGATTTATTACTTTACTCCTTATACTTGGTAAATTAATCTTTATCATGTGATATGGTCATCTTCTGAGGGCACCCAGGGCAGAGGACATGGAGGGAGTGTAAATATTTAACTGCTTTGCTTGAGACTTTGCCTTTTAAAAAGGTACGAAGGTTTTCCTTTTCCTTTTAGTAGGTCAGTAAAGAGTATTTCTCAAACTACATTTGTAAGCCTATTTGAAGCAAAGAGGACAGCTAGATTTTGGTTTTGATCCTGTGCATTTTTAGACGCTTGCCTTCTTGAAATAATTGTTTTATATGGACGAGAAGGAAATATTCCAGTGACCTTGGATTTTAAGTAAATTAATATGAATGGCCAAAAGAGATTTACTTATCTAATTACTTGTTTAAAAAATGCAGAATATAAAGTAAGTTTCGTTTGGTATGAAATACATACTCTGTTTTTCATAGATCTCTATATGAAAAAAATCCCATGTTGGATAGAATTATACTTGGGTTTCAGTGTTTCAGTTTTGTCCCCTATATCTGGTCTTAGTGTCTGTGTTATATCATTATCGAGCTATTAATAGAGACTAAATTATCCTACATCAAAATCTTTGCTAAAAAGAGAAAACCAGTTTTTATTTAAATATAAGGGTATTCTTTGACATGCATTTCAGAAAAAGACACATTCACTGCTAATATGAATTTGAGCACGTGCAGATTCTGCTACAGGGCAGTTTTTCATTCTCCATGCAGTTCTGATGCACCTGCTGAAATTTGTATTCTCTTTGTAAACTTTGATCTTGCGTGTGGGAAGGCTAGTATGTACTTATTACAAAATTATCATACTTTAATTACATATATGGTAAAATTGGCTGGGAGCAATTTTATTTAGGGACTCATTTTAAAATAGATACGTAGTGCTGCTGAAGATTTTGTAGAAATTTCTAGTCAATCTTAAGTATTCAAAAAAGCCACCTCTCAACTGAGCCCTTGTGAACGTGTATATAAGCATCCTTGTAAAGTTTGAAAATGTAAGACATGCTGAGAAATCTATTGACTTTTCAATATAGTTTTTAATAGTTGTTGAAAGTTTTGATGTTTTATGACAGCCTAGCCAATAAAGATCACAGAATTGACATGCTGGTTGGCAGTAAATTTTTTAAAAGCAGAATAAATTTCTGTGACTATCTAAGCAAAATATTTCCATAATTAATCCACATGGTCATAACAGATGGTTAAATTGAAGAAATGTCCTTGAAGTTATTCTTTTAACAGATGTTCTTAACTATTAGCTTCATGTTTTTACTCACCTAAATTTCCAAATCATCGAATAAAAGTTAACATATGCTTTCATCCCTTTAATAGGCAGAGTCGTAATTGATGCCAAGTTTGCCATAGTAGAGAAATTACTTCAGTGGCATATTTCTAATGTTTTTCTCTTTCCCACCCTATAATTGTCCATCCCCGTCCACTGGTCATGTCTCCTTTTTTCTTTTACATAGGGTCCTACAGAATGCACTTCTGCTTTCAGATAGCAGCCTTCACCTCTTCCTGCAAAGCCATCTGAATTCAGAAGACATCGAGGCATGTGTTTCCGGGCAGACTAAGTACTCCGTAGAAGAAGCAATTCACAAGTTTGCCTTGATGAACAGACGTTTCCCTGAAGAAGAAGAAGAAGGCAAAAAAGAAAATGATATAGATTATGATTCAGAAAGGTATTTCCTTGCATTTTGATTTAATGTATACGTATTTATATAACACCTTGTGCACATATGCATGTGTATAGATATATACACACACTCCACTTTTTGTTGATGTAATACTAAGATAATGAAAAAATTAATTGACTGAGATTTTATTGAGCTGTGACAGCTCATCATAGTAGTCTTCACACACACCTCCACACTGAATTAATGAATGCAGTAGAAATTCAATTATCTGCATTCTGATTATGTGACTTTCATTTAGTCAGACTTGAATTATTCGCGTTTAAATTATCTAGCTAAAAAAATATCCAACTGCACTCCAAATGGCTAATTAAAAGTCCAAATTTCCTGTCTCTCTCTGTGACTGGAGATAATTAAAGTTCTCCTCTGTTACTCAGGCTTTGAGTGTGTTGTGAAAACCAATTTCCTCTTTTTATTATTTTCCCCCTCTCTTCTTTTCCAGTTCATCCTCCGGGGTTGGACATAGTAGTGATGACAGCAGTTCACACGGATGTAAAATGAGCACAGCTCTGCAGGAATCCTGAAAAATAATTCTAATGTTACCATTTTAGGAATAGCAAACTGTGTCCAGTCGTAGAGCAGAAAGCTTGCTAATAATATATTCTTAACTAAAGCTCACTGTCATATTAAGTATTTAAATTCGTAAAGATGTTGTGTTGTTTATTAGTGGTATTTTTATGTTGTCCTATTTTGGCTAAGCTTCTGTAAAAAGCTAAAAGCCAGTGAGTGCAGTATTCTCCTTGATAGGCGCACGCTATTGGTAAAACAAGATCCTGCCCTCAAATGAAATGATTTATATGTTTAAAAAAACCTAGTTGGCTTTATTGTATTTTAAAAGATAGGTAAATAGGTAGCATTTGAAATCCAGATAGAGCATTCCTTCTTGTATCACTGGGGCAGTGTTAGCACAAACACAGCAGGTATGGTCTTAGCCGCTAGGAAGACTTTCGGCACAGACCAGAATGCCTCTGTCAGACAGGCGGCTGGAATTCTGTGGGTACCTCCCCTGCACTGGGAAAACACTTACTTTTGGGGTGGTTGATTGAAATGTTTTAAGAGTGTTTAACCTTTCCAGTATTCTATTTCACATGTAAATGGAAAATGTATCTTATGAATAGAGAGACGTTAAAATTATGTTTACATCTTAGAGAAAAAGCCCAGAAATAGCACTAGTCATTCTGCTTATATTTGCAATATATAGATTCAGAAATACATTTTCATTGTCCAAAATCAGCTTTAACACATGGTTTCTGGAAACAAACCATTTGTTTTCATTATCTGTGTGTAATTAGAATTATAGGTTCATGATTTATTTTCTGACTTAATGTGCAATTTCTTATCACTAGATACCTTTAAGTGTCAGTGACAGTTGCTTGTTACTTTTTTAAGTTAAAAGTAGGATCTTATAAAAATTAATAAATTTTGCCAATAAATATTCCCATAATTTAGAAAAGGATATGAACTTGCTAATTTCAGAATTAATTATTCATTTTTTAAAAGTCCTTTCTTTTAAGGCATTTGCCTGAGCATCTATAAATGCTTATTTTATGAAGCAGTAATTAAATGTCTTTTTTTTCTTTTTTTAGTGGCCCAAAGATTAAATGTCTTAGATAAAGTACATTGAACTTCAAATTTCAGATAAAGCAGCATTTTCTTGAGATAATTGTTCAAGTTTCTTCCTGGTTGAATGGTACAAAATATCTCTGAAATTAACAGGAAGATATTTTTACATAACTGGTATAACTTGTTGCTTTAATTAAATATTACCTCACCTCATTTTATTTTAACTAGGAGTTTAAAAGTATTATTTAAAGAGTCTTTGAAATGCTTGTAACTAAGAACCAACAGAAAAAATTAAATTTAGAATACGAATGATCTCCTTAATTTCGCCTTTTTGTTTTTTGTTTGCTCTAAAACATTATTGAACTTTTCGTAAATATTTTGATTTACGGTATCTTGGATCTTGTTACTTTGTCATCTAAGACTCATTATTTTAATACGGGGGAAAAAAAGATTTAGCAGTTTCTTTTTATCTTGCTAACATGTAAAGTTTGCCATCCAGTCATTTGAGTGTGATCCCTAGGTCCTTGGCAATACGTATTTGCATTCACGTTATTTCTGTTTTACTGCAGTTTTGAAAAGCATATAACGTGCCACCAATCGTCATGTGATTTTCAGATGATGTAACTATAGCTATCAAAATTGATATTAAGTAATGCCTAATACTGTGATATGTAAACTTCATGAGATCTTCATTTTCACATTAAACATGAAAAAATCAACTTCAGTTTGTTGGATCGCTTATTTTATACAAGAGAATATATTTCTTCTGTCTTAGATCTAAATTCAGTGTGTTTTGAATGATTAGTAATTTTTAATGAATAATTTTGGTAAAATTTGGTTTCATATTCACCGTAGTTGTGTACATTTAAGGTTTAGCCTTGGTTTGGTTGTTTTGATATCTAAGCACTGGCTTCTTTAAACCGATTTCCTGCAGCTGAAATATTTAAATGAACTTCAGCCCCCAATGGCTTTCTTGTTTTGTTCAAGTCTCTTATTTTTCTCCGCCATATTTTTATAAAGCTTTCTTTAGAAAAAGAAAACAATTACTTAAATAACTAAATAGCATAGACGTTTATTTAAAACTATTTTAAATGTAACAAATTTAAAGAATTCTAATCCTGGTTGCTTTATGATTTACATACAAAAAACTGTATTTCCCTGGCTAATTCTTAAAGGGCACACTTATTCACCTATAAAGATGGTTTATGTGTTCTGTTTGAGAACTGGTTTTATACATAACCCAAAGGTGTCAACAATGAAAGTCAATACCTGTTACTTAGGGCTTCTTTTAAAGTCTCACTTGGAAGAAAGTGATTTAAATTCTTTCTTAAAATTAAAATTTCAAGTTTTAAAAATTACTAAGGAAAAACAGGAATGTTAATCTTTAGTTATGTCCCTTAAGATATTAAATATCTTGCAGGAGCTTTTTAAGCCTAGTTCACATTTTACTAAGTAATTAAATACAAACAAGTGATACGCAATAACCGTACTATAGTCTGGTAAAAAAAATAAAATTTCTTTCATGGCTCTTAAGAATTTAAACAAATTCATTTATCCTAGCCACAATTACCATTATATCCCAACAGTAAACTGAATGTTGTTTTGAACTCAGTTTATGTTTTTGGTGCCTTAAGGAGTCATCATCATTGAGCTTCTGTGGTACAAATAAGGTTTTCAGTATTTCAGCTATAAATGAAGACCCTTTTCCATGAAAGGCCTCTAAAATTTTAAGATAAAAATAACAAAAGTTTATTCTATTTCTAAATAGTTTTCCTCTTAATATTTAAATCACTTAGTTGGTATCCTATGAATACAATGCAGCATCTTTTCAATGTAGGAACAATTTATTTCAATACAATTTTCTGCTTTTGTTTGGAATATAGACCTTTATTGTATATATAATATATACACATATTTTCAAATACACAAAGCTGTCTGAAATTAGTTATTGCAGTTTGACAGTCAAAGCATAGATACAATTTCCTTTGCACATAAAGGTCATAAGAAATTAATACATTTTAGTAGAATGGAGTTCAAAAAGTTTAGGACGTAAATAAGCAACAATTTCTTTAAGTTTGAAGTATTTACAAAGGATTTTGGCTCTATTCTTTGCCATATGCAGCTCACAAACGAGTCACCATTGTTCCTTTAAGTCAGGCACAATTGCTCTTCACTCTTGCTGGAAACTTTTCTAGATCATTGTTATGAACAGTGCATTGGACACTATTTTAGCTGCGCAAACTCTGGTAGTGACCCTTTTCTCTTTCTCCAAAATTCCAAAGACTGGTTTTCAAAAGATAGGAAACGAGAAAAAAAATTAAGCTACAGTTTTCTAAGGAATTTAAACTCTGGTCTAAAGAGACTATGCAAATGGTTTATGCCAAAGAGGAAAATACCCTTTCTCCCCCGACGAGAAGTGTAGACGCATCCAAAGCCCCACACCGCTTGTCTTTGCCGCTAGAGGCACAGCACGGGCATAACTTGCGGTTGTTTTTGCTTGTTTCTTACCTCTGGGCCTTCTTTATAGCTCTGCCCCCCACCCCACCGGCGGCGGCGCTCCCGCGGCTGCACCCGGGCCGCCTGTTGGCTGCAGCGCCCGGCCGGCTCGCGCACACTCCCCGCGATGCGGCCCGCACACGCGCGCTCCCGCTGCCTCCCGCCCTGGCCGCTCAGCCTCCGGCGGCGGCGGCGACTGCGTGGCAGGTAGCGAGCCAGTCGGCCTCGGTCCGGTAACCCATGGCAACCGCCCTGGTAACCCATAGCAACTGCGCGGCGGAAAGAAAGGGGGGGAACCCGGGTGGAGGGGGGCAGCGGGTGGTGAGTGGGAACAACAACCGCAAAGAGACAGGATTTACAGCACCGACCTGCAGCGCTCCCTCCCCTGCCCACCTGCCTCGAACGTGGGCACCGCGAGGCCCCCTTCCCAGGGTTAGAGTGACAGCTTGGCGGCTTGAAAAAAATAAATAAAATAATGCAGAGGGGCCTGGGGTGGTGGGTTTGGTGCAGGAGGGAGCTTTGAATACCGATGACCCCCTGGGGCCTCCGGGTTCAGTCGTCTCCGGGTCCCCGCTGGTTTGGCAGCGCGCGTGGAGCCGGCCCCCGCCGCTCGGGTGGGTTTCGGGCTTGGCTGGGTCAGGGCGGCCGGGCCGGGGAGACGGCGGCGGCCGTTCTCAGTCTAGGGCTGGACCCGAGTCTTTGTTCTGCAGATGCTCGCGCGGCACTGCGGCCTCCGCCCCGCCGCCCGGCCCGAGAAGGGGCGACGACGCGCCGCCGGCGCGGGTGTGGTTCAGGCCTAGGGCGGCCCCGGAGCGTCCCGGGGTCGCGGCGGGGCTGGGGCCAGACCCACGCGTCGCGAAAGTTTTATCTGCGCACGTACCGCACACATTAGTCGACCCCTTTCTCCTCTAGTCTCCCCAGAACCCTAAATAAAACCTGCGGGTGGGCGCGCCGTCGCGTTAACCCGTTAATCTGTCTGGGAAGGGAGGGGACCGACGACGCTTGGTGTCGGGACTTGCTCGCCGGGTAAGAAGCGCGTGCCTCTGGGTCCAGAAACGGCCCTGGGTCAGGGTTTAATGTGTGTGTGTGGGAGGGTGGGGGACGTATAGGGAGGGACAAGTCCCTCACCCCATCAGGCCTGGAGCCCAGAGGCCGAGCTTCCTTTACCCTGGAAAAAAGCGCGCGGCCAGTGGCGACCCGATGCAAGGCTGCGGGAGGACAGAGGGGGGCGCTGCTGGGCCAGCGCGGTGGCCCGGCGGTCCGCGGCAGAACGCGCCGCCTGGGGTCTGGCTCGCTGTCTGTGTGGTGGCGTGGTGTTAGGGCTCCCAAGTGGAAAGAACCCACGCTTCACACAGCTTTCCGTCGGTGCTTGGGAGCATCATCTGCTCGCTTGTGTATTCGCCGAACACCCAGCCCTCAAAAGGATGATGCAGGAAACACAACCGGAACAGGTTCCATTGAATACAGAGTACCTAGGTACTTAAAAAGTCCACTCCATCAGGAAATGTAGTGTGGTGAAGAGAGATGGCACTGGACGCCTATAGTTCTAGGTCTAAATCTAACTAGTTGTGATTCCAGGTGCATTTTGATGTTTTAAGAAGGATAAGGCCCGGATAATTTTTGAAGTCCTTTGAGATCTTAATCCTCAATTATTCTCCCTCTGTAGGTGTGTGCCAGTTACAAATACAAATAGCAAAGCCTACACAAAGACCTGCACAAGTATATATTTGTACAATATATGGTCCTGAAAAGGTGAGTAGATCAACAGTGTTTTATATATCTAATACTTTTACTGGTAAACAAAAGGGAAACTGGCTAAAGAATCCTATTGTAATCCTTTCATAAGGAAAAGAATCTTCTGAATATATACTTTTGTTGCCGCAGATCTTAGGGAAGCTTTGGTTTATTTGCACAAACGTGCACGTTCTGGGCTCCGCTGCCTACTGGGTACCAGGTACAAAGGAGACTGTAAACTCTCAGACCTGTGTAAACTGTAAAAGATAGCTTGCCTGCCCTGGGATCCATTCAGTACAATCCCAGCCCTCTGCATAGTGGTGTACTGGGAGCCCTGTGCTGTAGTTTAATTTTTTTTTTTTTTTAACAAAAGCAATTACAGAAAAGTGCAAATTTAACGTGTGACATTTAACATTTTGCTGTGGCAGGCAGCCTCCACTTAAATGGGGCCTTTCTGCAGAACAACAGGAGCCAAAAGGCCTTGTGTCATGGAGTAATGTAAGACACAATCTGGGCTGCAAATGCACAATGAATCGGGAAGGATTTATGTAATTAATTGACCAGTCTTAACCTGTTATCGTGATGTAAGGAATTTGGAACTCATTAATTTGGGTTCTGACAGATTTCATATTAGAGCTGGCAAATATGGATTGAGCCTCTTATTCTTGTAGCAGCTGGAATTTCCATGACAGTGAGGATTAGTGAAGAAGACCTATTGCTGGAGTCAAACTGCCTCTTTGTAATCAGTAGCCCTGCTCTGTATTAAAAGGATAATGGGAAAAAAAAAAAAAGTAAGAAAAAAAAAAGGCAAAAGCATATTACCTGGCTGAAGGAGCGGAAGGGGCTGGTGCTCACACTGCTGGCATGTGTACTGAGCACAAGCATCTGCAGCTGAATGAAAAACATTAATTTCAATCATAAAGTTAGCTGGTTTCTCAAGCACCTTGAGAGCAGGTGAAGGTAGAAGGGTCTCAGGGTCAGGTTTAGTATAGTTGTCAAAGTTAGAAGGGATTAAAAGATGGAGCCTTTGAATTTCCTCTGTGTGCACACAGAAATGGATGCAGAAGGACATAGAAGTCTTATGAGGGGCAAATGGCATTTTCTGAATATCATATCCACAAACGAGCGATTCAGAGCCCTGAAGGAGAAACTGGCTTTCTCAGGAGCCACTGACTGTCTCCTAGTCAGAGCTCCTTCGTGGACCTCATGAAACCCAGAATTCACATAATGAGCAGTTCGTCGATAATCTAATTTGTGTCCTTTTCACAGAATACAATGTTTAATGAATCATCCTTTTGGAACTCTCTAGTTTCTTCTTTGAGATTTTAAGAAAATCCATTAAAAATCTAACTTTCATTTTCACCCTCTTTGATCATCAGAAAAATGCTAGGTTGGAAAAAAGTTCGAAGATTAAACTAAATGCTTTTTCTTTTCCTTTCTTTCACAATAGGTTTCCCCAATTACTGTGCAACGTGATAAGGTTAATATA